TGAGATCTAAGCTGGTGTCCATCAGTGGGGTGGAGGGGCGTGAGGGGGAGAGCTGAGAGGGGAGCCGGCAAGGCCGAGCAAGCTGCAGTGGAACGTGGAGATTATGATTTGGAGCTGGAAGCCATCTCAGAGGCCATTGATTTCCGCCCCCATCGTTTTCCAGAGTTGGAAACAGGATCCGGGAAGTTCCATGTTGCGAGAGGTCACGCACAAGTGCCTGGGTTGGGATTGTGAAGTCGTGTCTTTTTCGCTCTAGATCGAGTGCTCAGCCCTCTCCGCCACGCTGCCCCTCCAGATTAAGAAACCCCCCCCCCCCCCATAGAAACAAGAAGATAAAGCAAAGGGGAAAGACAGCTAACTCTGAGGAAAGTCAATGGCCCGCCTTGATGGCATCCCTGTTCTCAGTGAAGAGAGGGTGGCTAGGGTTTCAGAACGTTGTGCTCTCTGTCAGACTGGGTAGTTTTGTTGTTTTTGCCCTTTTTTTGTTTTATAAGGGATTATTCTGGAATGCAAGGCCTGAACATGACTCTGTGCATGTTTTAAGCATCAATGAATCATTTCAAAAAATATGACCAGCGGTTTTTTCAGGAGGCGTGGGCTAGGGGGAGGCCTTCAGACTGTGTGAGGAACATTTCTTCCAGAGCCCATAACATGGAAGCTTAGAGAGTTGAGAGGGTCAGTAAGAGGTTGAATGACTTGACCAGGACCAAGCAGCCAGGACAGGCATGGGGGACTCCACATGTGGCCCTCTAGGTCCTCAAGTGCAGACAGAATGAATGTCACAACCCTCGAGGCCACAGGTTCCCCACCCCTGAGAGCAATATGTCAGAGGCATGATTGAAAATCAAATCTTCCTGATGTCCGATCCACCCCTATCCACCAAACCCAGTGCTTCTCTAACACTTCCCTGTCATAGAACCTTTCAGTTTCAACTAAACTTTGACAATCTCCAAAGCAGAACAATTGGAGACAGGACTTTGTCTTTCATAATATGGTAGTCTCTTCCACATCTGACAGCCTGTCAATCAAGCAGTTCATAGGAGAGATGCCCTTGGTCAAGTCTGGGCTGTTCTGAGGTGCTTAGATGGGTCAGGGGCTGGGCTATGGAGCATGCTTTTTGTTTCACCTGAATTCTGCCCACCCACCCCACCCCCATGGCCAGCCGATACCATTCTCCGTACAGAATCAGTACTCGATACTTTCTGGCTTCCTCATTTTGGTATTTTTATTCAGCTGGCATTTGTGATCTAACTCTTTACTGAAGTCCCACTCCCAAGCCTCATCATAGTGTGAAGATGACCATGGTCCTCCACAGGGATTGCTAACAGAAAGCAAGCCCCAGCAGGTTCTACACAGCTGAGGAGGCTTCAGACTCCGGCCCTGGGATGGGTAGCATGTGTCTTATCTGGAGGACTAACCTAGCTTAATACAGGCTTGTCACTAAAAAGGCTGGCCTGTAGGTGATGAATTTCTTTTCAGCTGGCGCAAACTGGGGAACAGATGAAATACACAAGCTAGCCCTCTAGCCTGTGCAGTCCGCTGTATTTCTGTGAATATGGCCGTAGTCAACATGGTAATAAGTAGTGGTGGTCGCATTTGAACCCATGTTTTCTGGTTTGACATCAGAGGCAGGATTAACATCTGTATCAGCGTTCATGATCCTGCTTCAGTTCTCCTAGATTTACTTGCACCTTTGCCTAGAGGGGACCTCTCCTTAGAGGTGTGATTGAAAATTCAAATGAATGCTAAAATAAATAAAATCCCTCTAGCATATCTACTCTTTCCTCTCATGTTTTATTGTCAAGTGTTCATTGGCCGCATCATTCTTTTGTAGGGTGCAAACCAGAAATACTCAATGTTGAGTAATTAATTGCCTAAAGGACTTTATTGATTTGCAATGAAAGGGTAAGCACATCAAATTAAAACTACCCAACTCCACCAACAAAAATAGAAAAAAGTTTTGGAAGGAGCATGAGGTGAATACAGATGGTGAGTACAGATGGCAAACAGTTTAAGCATGCGGTGCATTATTAATAGAATCTGAGAATTAATTCTTTTTTTTTTTAAGAAGGAGGGGATGGGAGTAATTGTTTAGTCCAATATCTTCAATTCACAGATGAGGAAACTGAGACCCAGGGAGAGGAAGTCACTTGCCCAAGTTCACAGAGCTATTTAGGGGCACACCCACTGATTCTGAATTCTCTAAGAAAAAATTTTTGCGAAAGTCTTTCAATTTCCCACTGCCCAAGTAATCCCTGCATCAGGAGTCTTTACATTTTAAATTGATCCTGGTGTTGGGATGGTTTGGGATTTTGTTCTGAAGGGTTTCTTGGTATTGTTACAAAGATAAAGTTTCCTTCCTTCCAAACTCAAACCAGAAGTAATTCAGAGCCCACTTTAAATAATGGAAAAAGTTATTAGAGAATCATAAGACAAATGCTTTAATCACCTAAACACCCACACTGTTGAAAAGTATTCATGACCCATGCCTCTCAACACTCAAAAGAGGAAATTCTTGATTTCCTTTCAGTTAAAAATAAACACCTATTTCCCCGTGTGGCTTTCTGTAGAGCACAAAGCCAGAGCCCACAGAGACCCAAGATATTCCAAGGCACGAAGTCAACCATCATTTCTCAGCAAGGCAAAAACAAGCTTGCAGTCTTCTGCACTATGGATCATGAAGAGTTGCCATTCCCAGAGAGATCTAGAAGCCTTGGGCTGTGGGGAGGACAGGCCTGAGGGTTGGGGCAGGACACTCGGCCCCCTAGGGTCAGTACTCTGTTACTGGTCAACGTTTCAGCAACTGTCCCTTCAAGCAAATGCACGTGAAAGACATCTGCCCAAACACACCTGGACACATGTACACCCCAAACCAGGAAAGTGAAACCCAGCTTCTGTCTAGGGCTGCTCAGTGTGCAGCACCCCAAAAGCCCACATTTCGGTGCTCATGGGCCTTGCTGGCCCCAACAAGTAAAAGGAGAGCTTCTAGCAGGGAGGAAGGAAAGAACAAGCTTCAGCAATTATGGGGATCATACAACCTTAGAACCAGAAAGGTCCTTAGAGGAGAGTTCATATAAAGGGCAGTAATTTGGGCATCAGAGATCTCTAGGATTTGCAACCAGATTTGTGTCTCTGTTTCTTTCCCCTCTCTAGGCCTCAGTTTCTTTGTCTATAAAATATGGGGACGGGACCAGATCTCCCCTTAGATCCCTTCCCATTCTAAAGCTATTATTCTTTGATCCAACAGGCCAACCCCTTAGTCACTTTTACAGGCCAGGAAGCTGAGAAGGGAAGCAGTTCCTCCAACACCACGTAGCTAGTCGGTGGCTGCCAAGCTGAATGCAGCTCTCCTGACTCCCAGGCCACCGTACCACACTCCTTCCAAAACAGCTGTGCCCTAAGATGCCCTTCAGTCAGTCATGCTGAACCCAGGCATTCAAAGGAGTGGGGGACCAACATTCAGCACCCTTGTTTCTCAACATGCTTGGCTGCCACTCCTTCTTTGACTTGGCCCATAAGAAACTAACACTTTCTCTTGGAGACCTGCAGGAGAACGCTGAAGTGCATGTGGCCGCTGGGTACAGTTTGTCTCACAGAGGGAATAAATGGAACATGGGCAGGGTCTTGTAGAAACACATTAATTAGCAGAAAGGATCAACTTCGCTCAGAACCTGGTTTAAATTTTGTTGTTCCATCAGACAGAATGATTTTCCTGTATTCTTAAAGAAATGGGAAAAATAAACATCTCAAGGGGTAAGGGGCACACCCCCAAGACACATTTGCCCTGAGGACAAGCTGACCACATGAAAGCACTTCCCCCCAAGTCAGTGTCACGGGGTGGGGGTGGGGCTTGTTGCCTTCCTTTTCTTGACTTTATTAATAACAGTATCATAGAATCATAGGGCATTTAAGGCCCTCCATGATCTGGCTCCCACCTACCTTCACAGGCTGTTTGTACTCCTCTGTACTATTCAGGTCACACTGACTTGCTAGGTATCTGCCATATAGGACATCCCATCTCCAGCAAGTCTCTGCCCTCGAACGTCCCAATATGCTTCCTCTCCTTGTCTCCACCTACGAAAATCTCCCCCTTTCTTCTCCACATAGCTTAGCTGCCATCTGCTACGTGAA